GACACATTCAAATATTCACATTTCTTTATCCAGGTTGAGTCTCCGTGTCCAAATAATCTATTGTTACTGCATCAGGACTCGTCTTTAGTCCAACATGTCTGATTTCATATTTATCTTCCATGTTATGAGTCTGTGCTGACATGAATATTTGTTATTATCACACATGAACTCAGATTCATTTACAGTTAAGTTTTATTCTTTCTTCAGGTTGAGTCGCTGCAGTCTGTCAGAGATCAGCTGTTCTTCTCTGGCTTCAGCTCTGAGGTCAAACCCCTCTCATCTGAGAGAACTGGATCTGAGTGACAACAAGCTGCAGGACTCAGGAGTGAAGGAGCTGCTTGATCTAGAGCAGAGTTCAGACTTTCACCTGGAGACTCTGAGGTCAGTAGATGTTTGGAGTCAGTCCATGCTGCTTTCATCAGTATTTTACTAAACACAGTCAGTATCACAGTAAAGATCCAGGGTCTGGACCAGAAGCAGGATTTGTGGTTATCAGGTTAACTTCAGGTTTAGTTTCTTCAGTCCTACGAAGCTCGTTCACTTCTTATCGGGGTAAATCACCATGGTAACTGATGATGGACGGCTAACATGCTCCGGAGCAGGTGAAGTTGGAGATCAACCTGTTTAAAAGCTCCGCCCACTGAGCAAAGTAACTACACTGTTGTGTGGACATGTTGAAGTGTCCTCGTAGTTCAGGCCTCAGTGTGTCCTCAGTGAAGCTGTGAGAGGACAACGATGACAGACTTCAGGATTGGACAGAAACTCAGTTTGTCAGAAGCACATGTTCATCAACACACAGTGAAACATGGCTTCACCTGTAACAGCAGGAAATCCACCTCTCAAGTGTCCACTCTGCACTTTCACATGCAGAGGAAACACACGTGATGGTCAAAGTGTGTGCAGCTCTTAGCGTGTTCATTCCAACACGTGAACATGAAGCAGAGAGGAAGCTGCTCCACCTCTGAACAGGACTGAAGTCCCTGCTGCTCTTTATACTGGATGTGCTGCATCACTGACTCACAGCTGATGAAGTGAGTCTCTGTCAACACTGATGTCTTCTTCTCTCAACAGATGGAGATGATCTTTGTAAAGGTGAGTGTGAAGAGGACAGTGTGAAGAGGACAGTGTGAAGAGGACAGTGTGAAGAGGACAGTGTGAAGAGGACAGTGTGTGTGGACGGAGGCTGAGCTGTGTCCTGATGATCCAGAGGCTGAAGCAGCAGCAGCTTGTGTGTAGTCTCCAATTCACCCAACCCCTGGTTTCACTCAACATGTGAATAAACCCACTCACTGCTGACATCACACTCTTGATCTTGTTCTGACATATGGCAGAGACATTGAACATGTAATAATATTTCAACAGAACCTTCTTCTGTCCGACCGTTTTTTAATTACATTTGAATTAAGAATTATTGACGACACTGGTTCTCGACAGAAATTCTATGATAGTCAGTGTTTATCTTTTTCCTGCCCTCGTCAGTCTCACCTGTTGGTCCTGTGCCACCTGTCTCTAGTTCCTCATTAGTTCAGTGTGTACTTAAGTCTTTGTGCTTCTCTGTGTCTTGGTCAGTTGGTTGTTGTGAGATGCTGTTTCCATGTCTTTTTTCGCCACTCGTCTCTGTTTCTTCTCCCCCCAGTAAGTCTCTAGTGTTTTCTTGCGTCTCCCCTGTTTTTGCCTAAGAGCATTTGGAGTTCTTTGTTGATTTTGGATTTTGTTATTATTCCCTGCATTCTTCATTAAAGGAGACTTTCAGTTTAAATCTTTTGTTCTGCCTGGACACCCACTCCCTTACCCGCTCCCCACAAAACGTAACAATGCTTGTGAAGTCTGGAGGAGGAACAGAGAGCGCTCATCTACAACTTGTCCCGTCTTCAAGGGCATGAATGCCATCTTCATTCAGAACTATTACTTTGATTGATGGACGAGAGGAACATCTTCAACCTGATGAAGTCGCCGAGTAAAATCTCAAACGAAATATCAACAATGAGCAACTTGAGCTGATTTGCTCAGAAATATGTGAATACAGTGATAAATAAAAGTAGAGGAAAGTGAAATAAAAGTGTTGTATTCAAATATAGATCCGAATGGTGAAAGTATAAAATCAGCCAGTGCAAGTTTTTTTTAGTTTTTTTATACATCCATAAGATACTATGGTTAAAAAAGTAAATAATTAATTTACATTTTGAAATTAGGAAAACAAATTAGAAGCAATCAGATTGAGGTTCCACTGTAAATTAAAAACATCAATATACTATAAGACATCATGTTTAGATCTGAGTGTGTTCATAAGGTCCTCTTGAGATCTGATCACACACACAGTGATACCAGGTGCATACAGGAGGAAAGGAAACCAAATGAATTCTGATTTACAGGCATGGATGGGGATTGAACCCATGATCTTTGGTTTACGAGACCAACGCCTTACCACTTGGCCACCACGCCATTTGCTTTGTTATATGTTTTATGCATCCACTAACCACAAAATCTACAAATACTGGCTGTAATGTTTCAGTGTATGAGCAAGTCTATTTGCTGACAGTGTCTCTGGTCGTTTCCAGCCTACCGCTCATATGCACTTCAGTTGCATCCAGAGAAAACCCCCTTTGAGTGGTTTGAATAGTCGGGGATGATTCACTCCAGCTCTGCAATAAGAGTCACCTTCTACTCTGCCAACTTCTTCATCTCTGGAGGTAACATGTCGGATCTCTGCAAGCTTTACTGCCTCTGTCAGTGGGTTTCAGTATTTATCCTGAAGGTCTGTGATTTCTTCGCTTGTTGACAGATATTTTTTCAAATATAAACTTGATGTGGACAGTCTCTCTACAAATGTCTATAGAAATAAACAAGTAYATGTTGGCACAATCAGTTCATGACTCAATGTTCAGGTCTGAAATGGACCTAAACCTCAGAAGGCATGGATGGGGATTGAACCCATGATCTTTGGTTTACGAGACCAACGCCTTACCACTTGGCCACCACGCCACACTAGAGAGTCTCATAAACATTTTATGGAACAGAGCTGATTGCCAGAGGGAATTGATCATTGAAAAATGTTTGGTTGTTCGTTATTTCTCATCTGAGGCAAACACAAGCACTCAACTTTCAGCCGACACATTGCTCAACGTTATCGTTTGATTCCTGGAATCTTGCAGCTGAAGCTCGACGTAAAGTCTTCAAGTGGATAACTGCTAAACTCCAGCCACGTTGTATTTGAACAGTAACAGACCAGTCGTATTGGCTTTGTTCTGAATGACCTGCACGAGTTACACATCCATCAGTATCTATGAGACACGCAGCATTTTATTCCAGACATCCAGGAGAGAACGTGTGATTTGGTTTTGAAGTTTTATTTTGTGTTGAGGAGAAATCAGTGATTCTATAGATGAATCATGAACCAGTTCATCTGAATGTTGAACTGGCAGAGATGCTGTAGTTTTTTCATTCTCCACTAGATGGCACCATGATACCATTGAATTTTCCTGTTTCCAGTCTGATGCTCTGAGTGTTTCTCTCCTACTCACCATCGTTCTTTGTTCTCGGAGAATAAAATAAAATAAAAGTGCTGCAGGTAAAATAACAAATCACAACAGAAACTTCTACTGAAGAATCTGAGCTGAGGGACAACAGAGGTTTAAATACTGCAGCAGCTGATGAGATGAGGAGCAGCAGGTTTGAGGCCACACACACACACACACACACACACTGATCAGTTCCTCAGATTAGCTCCTGGGCCGCTTGCATCCCTGACCTCTATGAACCCATGACCCTCTCTGTTCAGTGTAAATGCCTTCACGTGCTGGGGGCCTGACTGAGAGGAGGCTCGGAGAAACCTAAAAATTTGCTTGAGAATATCAGAACTGTTCACTGCAGCATTTTTCTTAAACAGCTATTAAATAAAAAGTTTGAATGTGTTTCATGCAAAGTTGTTTTTCGCTGAGTGACATTTGCCTTCTGACAAAAACAGCAGTTTTAAAAACCATTCTTCATGTGTTTAAAGAACTCGAGCAGCAGCTTTACTCTCTCTCTCTCTCTCTCTCTCTCTCTCTCTCTCTCTCTCTCTCTGAAGAGCACCAGCTGATTCGTTCCCACTGTAATTACATCATTTAATTAGCACATGTAATCACGCTGCCTCCACAGCTTCATTCATAACTTATATCATAATGATGAACCATCACTTTCCACTGTATCAAACCCACTCTGCTGATCTGACCTTGAGTTGTGCGTAACGACGTCTTTAAGGCTAATACACATTTTAATTTCGCTCCACTGAACACGTGTCATACATGACAAAAGACTCGATGTCTAATGATTCAGAGACTCATTTGAGGCTGAGCTCTCTGCACACCCTCCCTCTGGTAACGCATCTATTAAAAATGCTTTTCTCACAGATGTTACACCACAGCATTTAATGAACGAGGCTCAGTGTTTTAATTAAATAATGGATCAGAGTAAGAACTGCAACCACTTTCACATTTGTTCTCTGAGACCCATTAATTACACAAAGGTTTTCTCTCATCACTTCATGAACTAACTCAATTTCCGGCTGAGGCACAAGGACGCATGCGATCCAATCAGAATATTAGCAGTTTATCAAATGACGAGTGATGATGAGTGTTGTGTGTTGTGATGGTGCTGCAGGCGGAGTAATCGACATCAGACATGCTTCACATCTGTGGAGCTTCACTCAGCCCGAAACTCACCTCTTGGATCTTCAACACACAAACATGCCGCCCTAATATATAATACACACTACCAACCACACACAGAGTAATTCCCATCATCATCATCATCATCATCATCATGAGGATGATCGTCATCCTCCTGGCAGCAACATTCATCTTCACACCTCATTAACCACGAGACAAGGATGTCAGGATCATCTGAGCGCACACAAGCATGTACACACACACACACACACATACAGTTGTGTAGGATATCACACAAAATACACACTTGCATATTTACATATGCACAAACACAACCTGGCAGAAACACACAGACACCTGCAGTGCAGAGTGTAGTGTTAATCCATAATGTCCCAGCCCATCACTAACCATGTAACATCACTGTAGCTGAGCCTGTGTTACACAACATCTGCATTATACATCATGGTGTCTGTGTGTTCATACTAAACATGGCATTAGCAGGATATTGTCAGAGAAACAAACTTACACATGACACGAAACCTGTTTGTTCTGCATTTCTGGTCAGTTGGAGATTGTTGGGAAGGCCCGGTGGAGTAATTACATCCTATCTGTCATAATTAAAATTCGCCTCTGTGCCGGAAAACCCTGGATTTTTATTTTCACTCTGGGTCTCAGGGTCATTCTGAAAACACAAGACTTAAGAGGAGGGGATGAATGACTCGGCTCCATTTCTGGTGATTCCCTGGAACAAATAAACCTGATGAAGGAGAAGCCAGAGGCTGTTGCTCTGACAAGGGAGAAATGTGCTGCCTTGAACAAATGTGCCAAAAACGTCCATGCAGGTATGTTGATGCCACAGCAACATGAATAAATGATGGAGGAAGACTATTATTCACAGTAAAAGATATAGATAAACTGTTAAACTCAAAACTAGCTTTTAAGAAGGTCTATCACGGACCTGTGAGACAGACACCACACTGTTGATTCAAGTTTTTTTCCAATCTCTGAAATATGAT